TTAAAAAAAAAAAAAAAAAAAAAAAAAAAAAAAATAAAACCCCCGGAAAAAAAAAAAAAAAAAAAAAAAAAAAAAGGTTCACAGATTAAGCAGACTTTATTTTATTAAACATTATTTGCTTTGGATGCTGCTTTACAAATGTGTAACTACAAAGTTTATCCCCCTGACTATTTTGATGCTATCATTATATCTACAATCTGTTATCCTAACTTAGCGACAGCTAAGTTAAGATACAAAAACTACTATATATGTATATTGGTGTGTATGTGTAGCTGATGCAGAAACAAATGCCAAAAAACCTGTGATGTAAACAGAATTTGCTCAGCTTTGTGCCAAACTTCAAATAGATTAATGAATAGAACTGAGGAATCTTGATTTCCTTTATAGAAAGCTGGATTTAATTCTATAAGGATGTTTACCACTGTGTTACATCACAAGTTGTTTAAACAGGAGTGTTGTAAGCCATAAAGTATTTAAACTGTTAATAATTTATCTGAAAAGAGCAGAGGAGAACTGAGAAGAAAAGAGGAGAAATGAGGAGTAGACAGACTTCTTACATCTTTTCCATTAAAGTGTTTAAAGAGAAAATAAAACTGGCAAAAATCTGTTTCAGAAGATCGTAATTTTGCAATCAATAAAAAAATAAAATAGGAGATTGGGCACACAGTCCTGATTGGTGCGTCCCTTCATTCAAAGACATTAAATTGGTCTAATTTTAGTTTATTCATAAGATTCAAAGCAGGTATCAACATGTAAACAGCAGAGGATAACACTGAGTTTCCTTTGTGTTTAGTTCAACTACCTCTGCATTATTCACCTTCTCTCAGTCTTTGTGTTTTGCTCTCCACAGCTGTTACAAATTTCTCGATTAGCTCACCTGAATCCAATACCCTTCTCCTTGCCTCATTATATATAAGCTCACTGGTTTTCATTACTTGTTGCTGGTTCATTCTGTTATGCCGCCCAAGCACCGTGTCCTGCTCTGCCTTTGATCCCCCCTGTAAGTTTTTTGTTATCTCATTATTAAAACTACTTATTCCAGTCACCATCAGTCCCTGCGTTTGGGTCCTTCATTAATCACATTGTGACATTTTTTTACCTTAAATTAAAGCGCTTAGAGTATGTTAACTTGTGTCCAGTCTTGTTATTTTTTCATCTTCTACTTATTCATTAACTCCACCCACCCATCCGCCCACCACTGCAGTCATCTACACCTATAGACATTCACTCAGCAGGTCTTTCCGTCTCCCTTTGTTTCCCAGGGGAAGATGCACATGCACGTATGAAACCCACGGATTCTTTCTCATTAACTGTCAGACTTACTAGAATGATGTGTGGTGGTCTGTTATTTAGTAATGGCTCCCATCCAGCCGGCCAAATCCCTCAAATAATCAATGGAACGATATGAAGGGGCAGATAAAGCAGGGGGACAGGAACATTTGCAGGGGTCAAGTGGAAAATGAAATAAGGAAGAAATGAGCTGAAGGCAGAAGGGGAAGAGTGAGATGATGGATTTGATTTGTTGGAGCTCATTTTTAAGTGGATAGCCAAAGAGGCTGTATTACAGTAGATGGAGCGGAGATGGTTTATGCTAAAAGACAGTTTATCTTTCAAACTTTAGTAGATGCTTTACATTTTATCTTTTAAACTTTTTTTTTATTATTATTTTAATTTTCAGACAAGGGAAGGGCCAATGGTATTTAGAGGTGCAATCAAACTTTTTGTTCTTTTCTTCTTACATAAACTGACAAATGTCACAAAACAAAAGGGCAACAGGTGCACACACAGGATGTAAATCCTTCAAATGATCCTCCAATTACCTCCAATTCCACCCACCCCAATTCACTCTGAAAAGACTCCATCTGTAATTAAAAAAAAAAATAAGAGAGTCATTTTGAAGGATGAGGCTCAGTCCTGCATTCAGATCGGCTCCTCCTGAATGAGAGAGAGCGAAGGTTTGCAGGTTTATTTTTGTCTGTCAGATCTTTTTTTTTCTTTTGACTCTCAAACTACCATCATATGGCATCAATCAAGCCTCTGCATAAGATACCCTGAATGTGTAATCGCACTAGAGACAAGAGATGAGAATAGTCTTTTGAGTAGAAAGTATGGCACAGTGAAGAGGCTGATGAATTAACTATTCATGCCTTAATCAAGGTGCTTGTTTTCTGCACATGAGCGTGAGAGGAAGTGTGGCGTCCCGTTCGGGGGAGGAGGGCTAGAGAGGGCGAGGAGGAGGAGCTTGGCATATGCTAATGTAATTTAGAGTTCAATATGTAGAACAATGTGGGGACAGATATGAAATGAAGTTGGAACAGTGTTACAACTGCTTTTAAGCTTCATACATACTTCATACTCTCTCCTTTTACACAAACATGATCAGTCAAAAAATGGTAATGGTCTGGACTTAAACTGCTTCAAAGAGAGGGCAGTGGATGTGAGCAAACCTCAGCCAACACATTAGCAGCCCACCGGGGAGGTACCAAGCACCAGGAGGACGGCAAATGACAGGTAATGTCCACTCCTGCTCTTACACATGCACGCTGATGAGCAGGCACGCAGACGTGCACTATTACTTTTTATTTCTCCCCAGGTTACAAATTGAGGTGTGTTTCAGGCCTAATTTTCCCTGTTTTCTTCAGAGCACACGCACAGCCTTTCTCTTTTACCTCCACTCATAAATACATTTACATATTGACATGATAACATTGAAACATGCATTGTTATTTATCTCTATAATAATGCATATATATGTCTACGAGAAGACGTACTAAGCCATCTTTGCTGTTAGTTGACCTTTTCTTTAGAATGAGAGAGGAATTCTGTCTAATTTATCATCCCTTATATTGCAGCTGACCCATGTATATCAAACATGTGACCCCCACTGTTACCTTGGAAACCAGACTGGCTCTGTAGGCGGCCAGGGCTTTCAGGTACTCCTTCTTAGCAGCCTCTGTTTTCCTCTTGTAGCTCTGCAGGAACAAACACAACAACAACAATGTTTGATTACGAGCCGATACCAAAGGTTGCAATGACCCTCCGTTCCACGTTGACTGATGCGGATGAGATTCGGGGAGTCACGGCTTAGATGGGAAAAAAATAAAAAATAAAAAAACATTTCACATGCATTTGCTGCACAATTATCAGGTCAAGGAGATTTTTGCCCATCTGCATGATGCTGATGCATTCGAACCATTTGCTTCTTGAAAATCCAATTCAGCTCAAAATGAAATGTCAAGAAAGATTCTGCACAATAACATGAAAACAGAAGTTAAACGAGGAGCGAAAGCCTGTTTGTCGCTCTGCGTGCTTCTTTTCAGTGTTCTTCTCTATTAAGGCTGTTGCTCATCTCTTAATCAGAGCTGATGTCGCAGCAAATCACTCAGATGTGTGAGAGAGAGAGAGAGGGAAAAAAATAAAAGAACTCAAAACAGCTTTAGCAAAAAGGCAATCTTGAACTGTCTGAATGAACCTCAAATGATGCGTTGAGACAGGGAATTCAAGTTAATGTCATCACATGTCACTCACGGCCTGTGTGCAGCTGCCGCTGCCTTTTTCATGCAGCAAAAAGAAAGTGGCAGAAAGTCCACCCTCAAATCAATAGAGAAGACTCAGATCTCAGCATTTTAATATGAAGGAGGGCACTCTTCTTTGCGTGAGTGAATGCAGCGGGTAATTACTGATCCTCTATGAGATACTGTCAGTGGCTACATGGGCAGGGTCATCTCTTCTCAGAGAGGTGGGGTAGAATAACCATTAAGCATTCATGGGTTGCCAAGTGAGCATAGGCTGGCAGCCGCTGACGCACGCACTCAATAAACAAACAAGCAAACAAGCAAGACAGCAAACAAAGCGGGATGAAGCCGGATACAATCTCTTGCTCAAACAGCTGATGTTTATCCTCTCACTCATCCCTATTTACAATATTATCATTATTACCTTGATACACAGCAGCATCCAAAAGTATTCATACCCCTATGTTCACATTTTGTCATGTTACACCAACACCTTCCAGAAAACAGTTCAGTTCAGTTGTAAGGAAATGCAGCGTAAATGACAGGCATTAATCAAAAAGACAGCCAAGAATCGCAAGATAACTCTGGAGGGGTTGCAGAGATCAACAGCTTGGGTAAGAGAATCCGTTGATGGGAAAATTGTAGCCTTGGTCAAGAAGAAGTCATGGTTGAAAGAAAGCTGTAAGAATTCCTTCTTAAAGTTGCCATACGCAAATAAGTCACGTAAAAGCCATAGCAAACCTGTGGACAAAGAAGCTAAGGGGAAATCAAAGATTAACTTTTTTGGCCTACCTGCAAAACAATCATGCAAAGCAACACTGCCAATCAGAATTAATCAAATAATAAAGATGGTGGTGGCAGTATTACCCCTGCCAACTTCTAAGCTGGTAGGGGTAATGGAAAAGAGCCAGAAGATAAGGGAAAACTTTAGAAGAAACCCATTCATGGGCTCCAAAGGACTTGAGCCTAGTGAAGCTTCACTTAGACATGTTGCACTGGTTTTACACAGCATTGAGCCAGGAGGGGAGAGAACTTCATACCACACTTCTGTTTTCTGTAAATGTCTGTAAATCATGTTATCATTTTTCCTTCCACTTCACAGTTATGCACTAATTTGTGCTGTTTTATCAAGCAAAATCCTCATAAGATACATTAAAGTGTGTAGTTGTAGTGCAGCACAATGTGAAAAACACTTCTGCAAGGCAATAAAAGTTTATACATTATGCAGCAAGCATAGGGAAATACTGTCAATTTTCATAGAAAAGTTCCCAAAATCATTTCTTAAGTCACTCTTTGCTTCTTATAGACTCAAAGTCTTTGCTTTTATTAACTCAAACTACTCCCAGCAGCCTTAATTTCAAATTAATTTAACGCAGCTAATGATCTACGCAACGACAGATACTTTCAAGCAAATTACTAAGCCTAAGGATGTCTAATTATTCCAAAGTGAGTGGATTCATTAGTGGTTGAAGCCGTCAAAGGCTGCAGGTCAGTATGAATTAAAAATAACAAAGCTGCAAGGAGGGATAGCATATGCCTCCAACGTAATCCCAGCACAGAGGTGTCCCATCTGAATTAGCCCCCTAATTGTACCTTAATGAATTGTTCTTGTTTGATAACCAGTTAATTACTGGAGACAATAACCCTGCGCCCTGCTGACACCGATGGGAGTGATTACCCTGCGAACGTAAAACCGAATGATCGGTGAGAAACAGAAGTAAGGGTGGGGGTGGGGGCAACCGAGGATAAGATGAAAGACATACTAAGTAGTAATGGATGAGAAATGTTAGAGGTGAAAAGAGGGGAGAGGAAATAAAAACTAACATAATAAAAGTGTACAAAATCTGAGTCTAAACAAGGGGTTTAATATTCCAAACATCCCGCTTAAATTAATTGACAGTTTGTTTTTTTTTTTTTTTCTTTTTTTGATTTTTTTGGTCTCTGACCTTTCAAAAGCACACAAATCCAAAACACAGACTCAATTAAATAAAGCTAAGGTTTCCCCTCACTCCTACGCAAATCCATTATCACTATCCCCCCCTCCCCTTTTCACTGCTGTAAAAACTGAAAATTGATCTTAATCTCAAATAACAAAAACAAGAAAAATTTTCTTTTATGTTTCTGGGGCAACCGTAGCATGTAGGCACCTTGAGGATAAAGGCAGCCCAAATAACTCATTGATCTTACACTTTAAAGCACAGGCCATTGGAACCTGCATAACTAGACAAAATTATAATGAAAAAGAAAAAAAAAATGAACATAAACATGTCTTTGTTCTGCTGTACCTTTGGATAACACAGAGGAAGTAGAAGAAACACAGTGAAGCTCAACAAAAAGGATCACAAGCAAAAAGCAAATGACAACAGTGAAAAAGTGTTGATCTTGTCCAAAGCAAAGGTCTAAAATGTGCTTCCTTCAATGCATTTATGTGAATTTTTGCTGCATGGTATGTTTGAGGAGCGCTATAGATAATTGGAAACAGGAGCTCTGATCTAGTTAAAACAAACCTGTGTTTAGGGGAAGGGTTGTGTTTACATTCTGGTGTTCCTGCAAGGCTCCAGAGGGTCTGACTGAGACATTAAAGAATACACCTCAACAGTGGTGATGTGACCACTGCATGTTGGAAGGAAAACCATAGTGGTGTGTATGTAAACAGATCAGGAAGAGTTAACTCTAAAATTGAAGCTGTATGTTGAAAATGTTTTCAGGAATGAGAAATTGGCATGAACAGCTTTCCTTACAGATGCAATTTACCAGAGTTACAGCAAAGAAGATAATTTTTTACAGTTATGGGCCTTTGAGGAGACATTTTAAAGACTTCATTAAGTGTTATTCATACCCTTTGAATTTTTGGGGGGATTTCTTGGCACCATTAACTTGTACATTATTTGGCATTCATTTGGTAGATGCACACAAACTAATGTTACATTGTAAATTGGAAGGAAAATGCTAGGTCCTTTTCTTTACAATTGAAAACGTTAAAGACGGCAAGGAAGCACTCAAGACCCATGGTAACTCTGGAGGAGCTGCAGAGTTCATCTGCTCAGGTGTGAGAATCTGTCAACATATGATCCTTTTTGTTGATCATATGTTAATTTTGCTCTCCACAAATGTTTACGAAAAAGCCTCAAAGAAAAACCATTGTTCAAAAAGAAGAAAGTCTAAAAAGTTCATTTTGCAGGTTGCAACAAGACAACAACATATGGAACAAGTCTATCTGCTCATGGGAAACCAAACCTGAATCTTTTAGCCTACAAGCAAAAATGTAATACTGCAATACACATTGAGCACGTGATACATGGTAGTGGCAGCCTCATGCACATTGTTTACTTCAGCAGAGATAAGAGCTCTCTGCGTTGATAAAAATCAAATCTGGCTGAGGTGGAGATATTTTGCAGAGCTGTAGTTGCGATGAAATGTGGTTGTTAAACAGTTTTAGCTCATGGGAGCTGACTACATGCTCAACATGCTTCTTACCTTTTTATTTGAAAATAAATGTAAAGTAATAACACATTGAAAGCATAATTTTCCATCCACTTCAGAATTACATGCTGCTTTGTGTTGAGCTGTTTCACGAAGTTGTCAAGATAAATGACAGTGGTAGTCTGCTGTATTAATTAAAGCAATCACGGGGTTATTGCCCAGACAGAGTGCTACATTTCATTCGATAATGAATCATTAACTCAAGTTAATTATGTGTCCTGTGAGGTGACACGTCTGATTAAACACGTGATGCAGAAATAAAGAAATTAGCTGTGGAGAGGTACACTAAATGGGGCAATTTTGCTGGTGTACTACTAGTTTGTTAGTTGTGTTCCTGTTTTCCTGGTTCCACTGTGAAGGACAAGTGCATGTGAAACGTGTAAGAGGGAAACAGAAAATTTAGACGGTGAAAAAATAAAAAATTGCCAGAAGACAAAGGGTTAAAGAAGCACAAACAATAACATTTCTGGAGCAGATGTCCTTGAGGGAAAACCAAGGACGAGGCAATTGCTAATCTTGTATTCCCAGCATGATCAAATCACCAGGCAACAGATATAAATAAAAGGACAGGAAATGAGGAATTCACATTCAAGGGTGTCAGCGGCGAAATGAAGATTCATGGTGAAGAGCCCCGGTGAAGGTGGCAAAAATTAACTACAAATAAAAGGGACAGCCGGCCTCCAAAGTCCGGCGTATAAAGCAGGTTCGGACGGGAAAGAAAAAGACACATGCTGGAGAGGGGCGCTGCAGAGAATGGGCTGCACTTTGTCATGGAGACAGGTGCTTTTATTTGACACCCAATAAGGCTGTGCCCCTGACTGGATATTCTAAAAATATGAGTCTGCGCACGATCATCAGACTGTCTCATTTTCCGTTCATTTCACACTATCATTTGTTACCACAAAACACACAGAAACCTATTCGGCTCTGTTGGTCTGGAATGTTTGAATGAAATTGAAACGGTGCTCCATTGTGGGAATCAATAAACTGCAGTGAATGTTAAGGCGGTTTCATACGCACAGGTCGGGGTGTAATAAAACCAAATTTAGCTGATTACATCTACACCGCTGATGGCTAAAAACAATGTTTCACTTCCTTCAATAAACACATTTAATTTTGTACTGATTGTGAATGTGTAATCCATAAGTAAACATATGAAACAAGAAGTAGAAGCTTTTCAAACGTGACTGTAAATAAATAAATGTGTCACGTCTCGCTGTCATCCAAGCTGTTTTAATGCAAAGCAGATAAAATCTATTTAATCTGTACAAATGCTGCTTGTTTGTACTACTTCAAAACTACATTTTCTTGTGTAAGTTTAGCACACAGCAAACAAATAAGAAGCTCAAAGACATGTTAATAAGGTTGCTTAGGAAGAAGAAAGAAAAGTGTACCGTAAGCTTTGTAGTTCTCTTTGATTCAGCGATAGCGGTGACTGGTTAACAAGCAAAAAATTTATATTTTATGGGAACAAGCTGCAATGTTTATCCAGTTTTATCTGCTAGATAAACCAGTGTTTTTGTTTCACCATATCTAAAAGTTCACTTTGAAGTTTTCACATTTTCAGTTTACAACTTACAACCACAAACTGTTGTGTAGTGAGATTTTATGTAAAAGATAAAATAGGGCATGATTTTGAAGTGGAAGGAAAATGATACAAGTATTAAAATTTATTGCACAGAGAAAAATCTGAAGTGATTAAAAAGTTTTAAAAATGATTGAAAAAAAAAAAAAAAAAAAACACACAAGATTCATTGCCCTCCTGAAATCCTACCAAGACAAGATGCGTGTATGAAGAGTGATGGTGTGTGGTGGAAAACTATCACTGAACCTCATGTGGCCTGAACACACCACAGTATGAAATTCCGTGTGTGTGTGAAACGTGAAAGAAGACATCCAAAACGTTGTACCTTTGAATTGTATTTACTCAACTGAACATGCGTGATTTTGAGTACCTGTTTCTGCTCCTCCCCCAGGCCGTCCCACATGGAGGCGACTATCTTGGAAACATCTCCAAAGGTTGCGTTTGGATTCTGTCCTTTGATGGCTGCCTGGGTGTCTCTGAAGAACAAAGCGTAGGCTGACACCGGCTTGGTCGGCTCATTAGGGTCCTTCTTCTTCTTCTTCTTTTGGGGCTTGGGCTTGGGCTTCATCATCTCTGAAGATGGCCGTTTCTCACCCGTCATCTGGAAGACAATCAGTGCACACACAACACAGAAACGGCTTATTGATACTGAAGTTGGTTTTAGCATTTAGATGTGCAAAAAAAAAAAAAAAAAAAAAAAAAAAAAAAAACTTCACCAAATGAATAATTATAAATGTGATGAATGCCTGTAACACCAGGTCCTGGTGAAGCGTGTAAACTTAATTAACTCTATAATTTGATTGCTCAGTTCAATAACCAACATTTGGATATTGCAGCAATGTTTCACTGACAGAAACACTTTCACAAGTTGACAGAAATTGTCTTTTTTTCTCTCCTAGAGCACTTTGTCAGAAATATCATGTGCTAGTTGAATTTATCAGACCTTTTCAAATCTTTATTTTGCAGTTGCTCAGCAAGTCATAAATTCAGACTTTTCATGCCTGGGCTGAAGGGAATTTTAAATCGTCTGATGTATCTGCTCTGGCTTTGATGTGGTCTCAGAATGAATTGGAGAGAGCAAATGGAATTACTTACTGATAGAAGAGATGGTAATCATTTTTATTCACATGCGCCCTGTGAAGCCCGGCAGAGATGTATAGGCCTAGAAATATATTTTTTAAACCAAAGCATCCCCCTTCACTTATACTGTATCACTACGAACTGCCGGCTAAAAGGAGATGAATCTGAAACATTGATGAGGTGGCAAAGTCAGTTATATACTCATCTGCATTCCTCCTGATGAAAACTGAGCAGTAAAAATGGATTGTGGCTACGATGCATAAACAGGATCAGGCTAAAGATCTGCTTTTGTTAAAAGACGTTTCAACAAAAGCAGAATTTAGAGTCAGACTTTAAACCTGAACGTGACTAAAGAAGCGGCAGAGATCTGAACTGGTAAGACGCGTATGAGCTTCCGACAAAAACATTATTCAAATACCAAAAACAATAGGAAACCTTACTGAGTATTCAGTTCTTCATAGATAAATGTTTATATATTTATATCTAATTAATTTTACCTCTGGAAAAAAAAAGCAATTTATTATTATTTTTATTTTTATATTTGTATTTGTATTATGTTCGAATAAATTTTCTTTACATTTCATTTCATTCACAGATGATCAACACCGTGTGCACTGTTACTCTTTACAGAAAATATTTTCCAGCTGAGCAAAAAGTTAAAACACCCTACCATTTCACAGCTATTCTAAAGATATCAGCTTTGACTCAGTCAGGGACTTTCCATTTGTTATTTCTCAGCCAAGTTCTACATCAGCTTGAATTTTCTGACAGAATGTTTTTAAGTTTTCCTCAAGCACCCTTTGATGCAAAGTAGAATACTGTGATGGTGAGATTGCCGGATCCTGCCGTTCTCAAACCATGACATATCCACCTCTCTGCCTCACAGTTTGTGTGTCTATCTTTTCCTGGCATGCTGTGTTTGGTTTATGTAAAACATTTAACTTGTTCTGGTATCTGAATAAGTAGATTTTATACTAATTTCACCAAAAAAGCATGATTCCAGAAGTCTTGACTTTGGATGTGTTTTCTTTTTTTGTTGTTGTTGTTGTTTCTGGCAAATTTTAAATTGGTTTTGTTTTCCTTAGAGGGGAAACGTTTCCTTGTTGCACACTTCCTATGAAAGTTAAACTTGTGCACTCCCTTTTTGATTTATAAAGAGTGTGTTTTCAACATTCAGAAAACCAACCAAACATGGCAAGAACTGAACTCAGTGCTAAACTACCAAGCAATTACACACATAAGCGTGGTGTAATAATTTTAACTCCAGCTCCAGCAAAAACGATCAAAAACTCAAAAATAATCCTGAATTCCTCCAAAACCATTCATCATGCTTGCCATTAAGCCATATCAGACAAGCCCCTGCCTCTACTAAAGAAGCCACATCAGTACCTTTGAATGAGGATCTGTCTCCTCCTCCTGATTGGAGCTTGAAGGAGAGGGTGTGGCTGATTTACTTCCAGGAGGCGAGGGGGAACCATGAGGCAGTGCGCTCCGGCTGACCTGAGGGTTTAGCTGAGACAGTGCGCTCATGGGGTTGGGCAGTATCGGAGGTGAGCTGTTTATCATGGGGTGGTTACGGGCAGGATCGTAATGAGCGCCGTCAGGGTGCTGGTGATGGTGTTGCTGTTGGTGGTGGTGCAAAGCCATCTCCTGCATCTGGGATGAGAGAAGAACACCAGCTTTACTATCTTCTCTGCTCAGAGCAATAAATGTCGCCAATTAGCCAAATGTGCAAATTGTTTTAGGTGGAGATGACATTTTTGATGTGGTATAGTCTGCATAATGTTTGGAGAAAAAAAAATGCTCACAGGTGTAATGTGGACCTAAACCCTTCAATATGTACTTGCACATTCTAAAATTTTTAAATGTTTCCTTAAGGTTTCCTTATTTTGGGGGGTAAAATGATCTAGCACTGTCCAAGGGTCTGAAATGTTATTTTCTTCGGGGGGCTGAAAGAAACGGAATGCACTAATGAGTCACAAAGTATCACAGTAGCTATCATCCTCTATAAAACAATTAACTAGTTTCAAGAAACACGTAGAACAAATTCTAAGTAAAACAGCATCTCACACACAAACACACCCGTTAACGCTGAAGCTTCCCGCTAGACCGAAAAAAAAACTAACTTATTCTTGATTTCTCACTTGACTTGTTGGTTTCCTGTTTTTATTATTTCGGTTCCTCACACTCAGATTTGCTTTATCTTACAGTTTTTGTGGCATCTACATTTAATCTTCAAATGTTTGCATCAACATATCAAAACAGTCAACCAGGGGTGTAATCTAATTTGATATTAGGTCCAGTTAACACAGGAATGTTGTTAATTTGAGTTGTCTGACACTCAATGAAAGATGTCATAAGTAGTCAGGTAGTGTCAGCTTAGAAAGTCGAGCCAAAAGCCATGAGAAAATCCTTTTCAAATCGTAAAATTATACTGAAACTCACAGCAGGCAGACCAGTGGTGAGGCAGAACCACTGCTGAACTAGCACTTTGTAAAGAAAACACTGAGCATTCTACTAGTGATGGTGGTGCAAAAAAAAAAAAAAAAAAACTTCCTTACACTTAATATCGCAGCAATTTTGCTCATGATTTGCAGCTGAAGCCTACCACCACCATCTTGCTTGGAATGAGCTTCTTTACATTCCTTTAAGTTTAATCCTGATTCCTCCTCTTTTTGAATATAAATGAATAAGTTAATGATTATGTTTTAGAACATGTCAGATGATTTATATTGAAAGAATCACTGTTTTTTTTTTTTTTTTTGTAGAGTTTAAGCAATCAAGAACTGAGCAGTTAGCATCTCCAGCTTGCTGACTGACAAAATTACAGCCAAATCCCATCACTGAAAATATTTCTCAACAGTAAACAGAAATATTTCAGTGCTCCTCTGAGTTTTTGCTTCACCAAACTTGGCTTCACTGGCAATAGTGCTTTCTTGGCAGTAGTTCTGTTTCAACTACTGTAAACACTGGCTCTGTTCTACTGGTTCTATGTTAGTATTAACTTGAATCCAGTCCAGGAAAGAAACATTCTTAGTCGAGGGTGGGCTCATGGAGACTTTAAATGTTATGGGTGCCCGAGTTATTTTTGCTTTAGATTTGTAAAATTTATGACAATAAAACATTCAAACATCAATAATCAATAATCATAAAAAGCACACTTGCAAACATGTCACAATAACAATGCATGCCATTTCCCAATCCCAATGGACTGCCCAGATCAAATATTTGGTAGGGCATATTTTAAGTGCCATGAATGCTAATTTGTCCTGCAAATAATATTCTAACCTGCTGCGTAAACTTCACTTGCCCTCAATCCTCACAGTAGATATAAATACATTGTTTTGTGGCCAAGATATTAAAGCTCAAAAGGACTGCTGGGACATTGTGATGAAGAAAAAATAATAAAAGCTTCAACATTTTTTGTTCTCAGTCATAGTTGTTAATCAAGATCAGGGTCAGAATATGCAGTAGCAATATTAATAACTCTATATATA